TAAGTTTTTATTAAAAAAATTAAACTTTTTAATAAAAACACAGGCAAATTTGCCTGTGTTACAATTTAAGGGATAATGAACCTTTTAATAATCACCATGATTATTTCTTGATACTCTTTAGCATTCTAAGAAGGGAGAATATTGTCAATAAAAAAAACACAAACCCAGAACTGGTGTGTGATCCGTCATGCTCATTACAATATGCATTGACTATGGGGCCAAAGCTAATATAATGCCACTAAACTATATACTAACACTAACCTTAATATCAACATATACAGTTATATAATGAAGATCATTGAATCACAAAATAAAAATTTCGGCAAAGTATAAGTTCATATAAAAAAAAGAAGTAATATGTAATAGAAAGAAAACATTACTTGCCTGACACTGGGACAAACAACACCACAACGGATTAGTTGTTTTGAAACAATAAATTATTTTGTCTATTGATTAATATAAATTTTAGTTAATGTCAGTATACGTTTTGTGAATAATTTGCTTACTATAATACTGCATTGTTCAGATCTTACCAATTTGAATATAAATATTTTTTTTGGTAAGTTTTTATTCTTGATTCTACTCTTAAAATTATGTAAAAAAAAAATCTCTCTCGTGAAGTTTAAAAATAAAAATATGGTTGAAATCAAATAACATATATTATATTTTAAATTAAGTATATATACCAGTAGCATAGTAAATGCTGTGTGCTTCCAAAGTAAAGTTTTTAAAGAAAAACTTTTACACTTTACGATTTTAACACCAAAACCACATGGTATTATTTTATATATTGTACTACTTTGATATATATTTTATTAAAAAAATTATTGACTTTATATATAGCTTTAAAATATCTATTCGTGCTTATATAGATGATCTGCACCAAAATTTTGTCCAGATAACTGGCGGATTATCAATTAATAAAATAAAATTAAATTAAAAACTAAAAATAATTTAAAAAATTAAAAAAAAATTCTTCCTAAACACGATCTTGCCAAAATTGATAGCCTGTTAAATCTGATAAAATATTAATCTACTATATCTGTTTCTGCTATATAAATCTTATGTTTTATAATATTTCCAAGTCTGATAACTTCTTATTACTGAAACAATTATAAATTTAAATTTAAATATTAAATTTTTATTAAACTCCCGTGGCAAAGCCACGGGTCAAACACTAGTAATATATAAAAATAACTATTTAAATTGATTTAAACAAATTTATAAATAGGTAGGGTTAGGGTGAGGGTTCTAGTTTAAATTAAAGTTAGGTTAGAGTTAGGAATAGAGTTTTTATATATTATAATATTTGGTTTTACTTTAAAATTCCAACAAAGTTAGCTAGCATTAGTTATAATACTTGTCAATTTAGTTAGTATTATATCCTTTCGGGAAAATGGCTTTTGGGATTTCAGGGTAGAACCATAATATATATATTGCCCACTTATAGAAAACCCTAATTAAGTTCTGAATTGCTTCCTGATAGTATGTTTTAAATATCTATAATCTGTAATAAAGGCTTAAATATTACGATTTAAATATTAAATTCTATAAGTTACGAATATATGTTTTATAATATGCTGGTATTAAAATTATAAGAAATAGTGCTTGGTCCTTTATTTTTTTCATAATAATTATTCAGAGATCTTGTAAGTACAGTTTATTACACTTTATGCATTCATGAATTTTGGCTAACTATTATAGCATTTAATGTTCTGATCTGTTCTATAGCATTCAGAAACTATCAAAGCAAATAAATTAAATAATATCGGGGATGATGCTGAAATCAGATGATGCTGAAATTCATGTGATATCCGCATTAGCAGATTTCCTAAAATTTCCGCATATCATGTAACAATATAAGATAATCACAAAAAAAAACAAAGCCTTCTTTGCTGCACTATACTATACATACCTTGTTCTGGCATTGTTTCTTTGAAGACAGTACCATTGGACCGGATTCAAGTAAATAAACGTGAGTATAAAGAACTTCCGTCTCAAACACAAGATTAATGAAAAAAAAACTTACTGTTTACTGCAAAAAAAGAGTTCACCCCCATTTGCTAGAATTAGTGAAATAGAACTCAAGAATTAGTGAAAAAAAAAAAAAACAAAAAAAAAAAAAAGAAAACAAAAAAAAAAAAACAGAAAAAAAAGAAAGAAAAAAAGCATGCTGGCAATTCCAAAAATTCCAGAAACTCCAGAGGAGTTTCAAACAATTATTGAATACCTCTAGTCAAAGACCATACCAAATGATATCCAATGAGACCCACAAAAAAAATCCAATTTTATTCATCACTGTAAAAAATTTGAAGTTGACGAAAATAACTTCCTTTATGTCCAGCTGGTTGGGAAGGATGATGAAATGTTGGAAAAACATCAGGTGGTCTTCAAGTATGATGAAGAAATGCGTACTCTAATTTTAGGCATTTCCATGACCAAGCAAACCACCAGGAGTACTATAAGACTTTCTCAACAATTTCTGAAAAGCACATTGGAATTACGCAGGAGGAAGTTAAAGCGTATGTAAATCAGTATGCTGCTTGCACTGTAACAATCTCCATTAAAGAAAAAACTGACATGAGAAATGTAGTGGCACTGGCACCGTGGCATCATATTCAAATTGATCTAATCGATTTTCGAGATTTTGCTGAGGCTAATGACAATTTTGTGTAGCTACTTACGTGCGTCTGTATGTTCTCCAAATTTTTGATTGTGGTTCCTATGAAGAACAAGGAAGCAAGTACGGTTGCGGGCATCTTCTAAAAGATGTTTTTAAAATTCTTGGGCCCCTTTGATTCTTCAAAGCGACAATGATAAGGAGTTTGTTGCTAAAATTGTAACCAATATTTGTAAGGCTCTCAATATTACGATTAGGCATGGTAGGCCTCGCTATCCACAGTCGCAAGGCCAAGTTGAGCAACTCAATCAGACCGTGGGTTGCGGTTTCACTAAGTTGCTTTGGGATCAAAATAATCAGCTATAGCAAAAAGACTGGATTAATGTAATAGATGTGTTCGTGGTGTCGTATAATTCAACCGTTTACAAAGCGCATGGTCGCACACTACACGAAGCAATTTTCGGTTGGAAAATGCATTGTGTATACGATACTCCCGGTCTATATCATTTTTAATACAAAGCTCAAATCAAATTCAAAATGCAACTACTAAACTTCGGTTTTTCTGTTTAACAGGTCCCTCCGGAACTACCGCCGCCTCTGAGACCACCACCGCCTCTGAGACCGCCGCCCCTAAGACCACCACCGCTTCTAAGACTGCCACCATCGCCTCCAAGACCACCGCCCCTAAGACCACTAAAACCACCACCACCACCACCCAGGGATGGTAAATGACCGGGTCATTTGCTTAAATGACTAATGACCTAGAATGACCTTAAAATGACCGGTTATTTGAGTTATTTAATTTTCAAGTCATTTAAAAATGACTTATGACCAAATGACCCAGGTTATTTATAAATGACCTAAGTCATTTGGGTCATTGGGTCATTATGCATATTACGATCGGGTGATACGACAAAATTGGCTGGGTATTTATACATATCGGTTAGATCAGGTGAGTTTATGCATGCAAAGCTTAATTAAATTGGAACCGGTTTTATTTTCATATGTTTTAACCAGCCAAAACTTGAAAAAAAAATAGACTTTTAATATTGCAGTATTGTATAAAAAATATGTCATCAATTGTAAAAATAGTATAAAAGAGAGAATTGTGACTAGCATTAGTGTCTAATTGGCTTTATCCCCAAAATAAATATATATAGTACCTTTATTAGCAGTTAGAAAAAAGTGGCAGTAAAATAAATTTATATCGTAAGAAAGTTACCTTAATTGACGGTTTACTTCAACAGTAATCAAGAAAAAAAAATAAAATAAATAAAATAAAGAAATAAAAAAAATAAAAAAATAAATAAAAAATAAATAAAATAAATAAATAAAAAAAAAATAAAAAAATAAAAAAAATAAATAAATAAATAAAATGGACTTCAGATTTTTTTGTAAACAACGAATATTTAAACGATTATAAAGTAACTTCTCAAGATGGGCAGAATCTACCAGGAGATATTTTGTATAAAATTAAAGGACGCATCGTATCGGTATGTTAATTTAGCATATTTGAAAATTAGACATGTTGAACATCTTATATGTATAATACATTTTTTTCTTTGATCTAAAACTTTTTTTTTCTTTCTTTTTTGCAATAATGATGGGTAGAAAAGAACTCAACTTTCAAGAATTTTTTTATTTAGCTACGCCTGATAATCCCAAAGCCAATAAAAAGGCAGTTTGTTTGTCATACATGCGGAAATATACTTTACCTGTTGCTCTTGCAAATCCGGACTGCTTTGTCTCTAACAAAGCGAAACTATGCCAAAGCCATCTTAGAGACTGTCATAATTTTAAAGCTGAGTATAAATAAGGAAGATGAAGTTTTGGAAATCCTTGCTCGGCTAGTATCTGAAGACACTAAAAAAAAAAAATAATAAAAAAGAGAGCCGCAAAGGTAACTAACTATACTGTTATAATTATATAATATATTTAGTACTGATTTATATTGTCTATACATTAATTACTTGATAAATTATTAGATTCTTCATATGAAGATGAAATTTCTATCCCAATTTCAAAAACCAGTGCACTAAAAAAACAAACACATTTTCAAAGTTATGTTTCACGTCCACTATCTGAAAAAGATAGACCACATTTCGTGATATTACGTATGATCATATCAAATGGTCTTCCTTTTACTTTCATGGAAAATTATGAAACACAAGAGGTTTTTCATTTTATCGCACCAAGTTTAAAATTACCTAATTGACGAGCAGTAAGCAATAGAATTCTTCCAAGGTATTCTGAAAAGTTAGGTGAGGAAATTCAACAACGTGCACATGCTGATAAAATCGGAGTAACTGCTGCATTTGACGGCTGGACAAATATTAAGCAGGAGCATCTTTTCGGTATTGTGTTGATTACTTCTCAAGGTGAAGCTTTGATTTGGAATTCGCATGATATTAGCGATCAGCAGTCAAGAACAGAAGATGCGAAGCTTCTTATTAAAGAAATTATGAATAACGCGCAAGAAAAGGATATAAAAATCAATTGCTATGTGTCTGATTCTGCTGGGGAATATGCAGCCGCAAGGCAAGTATTAAATATAAATACTAAAGATATTTATATATTTAAAATTTAAAAAAATTTTTTTTTTTTATAGGCAACAACTAAGAATTGAATTTTCCAATAAGGTTTTTATACCTTGCATGGCACACCAAATAAACTTGGTTTTTGGTGACATTTTTAAGGCATCTGATACATATAAAACAACATCAAAAAATACAATACGTATTGTAAGCTACTTTCATTCTTCCCCATATTTTACCGGATTATTACGAAATGAACAAGTATCTTGTTATGAACAAACGATCTCTCTTGCAACTCCAGCCGAAACGTGTTAGAACAGTTTTTATTTTTGCTTTTATTCTGTATTAAAAACTAAATCTGCACTTAAAGTAAGTAGATTTTTAAATATATAAAATGTATAAGTAAAGTTTAATAAATTACATTAATTTTTTTATTAAATGTTGGCTACAAAATTTTCTCCAACAAGAATTGGGATGGCAAGTATTTCTCGAAGTGGACGATCATGGCAAAGATTTGTAGAAAATACGAATGCAACCAAAATGCTTTCACCTGACATCATATCTATAATACAAGATTCTAATTTCTGGATTCAGCTCTATGAACTTCAAAATTTACTATTTCCACTACGTGAAATACTAAATAAGCTTCAGAAAAATGCTGCAAGACTTTTTGAAATTATGCATTGTTTCGGATAGCTCATTAAAACTTTTGCAGACTGTAAAGATGAAGATTTTTCCAAACACATAGTCGCACGATTAAAAAAACGGTAGGCCCAATGGGAACAACCCTTACTCCTTCTATCATTTGTCTTACATCCAAAATATCGACTCTCAACATTTTCTTCCAATGTTCTTGGTCTTTCTTACTCTCACTTCGGTCAATGGTTAAATTACTATTATCATGCTTGGTTTGGTGAAGTACCAATATGTATTTTGCATGAATTCTTGTTATATCAAAGGGAAGTATTTCCTTTCAATAAGGAAACATATAACCAATTCAATGGAAATATTATTGATTTTTGGGATTCTGCAAAAGGTTTAGCACCCGAATTATCTCGACTGGCTTTGCAATTGTTTGGCATTTGTATCAATTCTGCTTCGGTGGAACGTTTATGGTCAACAATGGGTTTCTTACATACGAAGTGCCGAAATCGCATGCCGGTATGTAAACATTATTTAGTTTATTGTAATCTGTTTATAATTTTATATTGCTAATTCTGTTAAGTTTATTAATTTAAGCATGACAAGGTGTTTGCTATGAGCCAATTGCATGGCGATATATTAAGCAAGCGAAAACATAACAAAGCTGAAGAGGCTAAACAAAAACATAAAAGAATCCGGCTTGCAACTTCTATTCAACCTTACAATTCTGATAACCAAGGCACTACACAAGGCACTACACAAGAAGAATTAACAAGCGACAATAAGAATAATGATTTGTTTGTTTCTGAAAATTCACAGTTAAGTGAAATCTCTCAAACGACAGAGGTTATGGCTGAAGATGTAAATGATGATCCTGATGTTTTTAGCGAAGAGAGTTGGTTAAATATGGTGGAAAATTGGACTAATACTGTAGATGATGAAGATAATTTTGATCAGAATGAATCTTCAAGTAATGAAACACTTGAATTTGAATTAGGTGGACGTATTACTCATCCAGCGGATGATCCGTTGGCAAAATGGAATTTATTGGATTTATTCAATGATTCTTTAGAAGCACCCGTTTCATTCGCATTTTAAGAATTTTAATGATTCATTAAAGTTTGATCGGCACAAATAAATAAATAGTATTTGAAATATAAATACTTATATAATTCCTGAATTAGGCATGAATAAATAAATAAATATGCACGAATATGCTAGTGTGGTCTTGTAGTTAACGTTAATTTATAAATAAAAAATTAAATATATGTATATAACAAAATTTAGAGTTAATAACCACCGGTCCAAATCAGATACACGTAAAAATTTGGAAATTTTTACGTATCCCTGGCCCAAATACCCCAATGATACTATCATATCACGCAGATTAAAAACTTGGGATATAAAACAAATTATATAGATTAAAAAATACCCGGTTGCAGACATTTTGCATTTTAAAAGCACTGCACATTATTAAAAGATTCTTGTTGTTTGTATCTATTACTGTATTTGTGCATAATAGTGTACCGGGGTGTTATTTCAAGTAATGGCCCAAATTAAACTTAATTTAAACTAAAATTCGAAATTACTCCCTATGCGTTATTATGCGCAAATATGGTATATATTTTTAAATGACTCTACAAGTCATTTCATATTTTTAAATGACCAATGACTGGTCATTATTCACTTGAGTCATGAAGTCATTTCAGGTTATTTACCATCCCTGCCACCACCACCCAAATCACCACCACCACCAAGACTGCCGAAGCTGCTGTGGAGAAACGTATTTTACACATGCTTAAAATTCGCCAATCCATAAACGCATTGCTTGAAAAATATTGTGAAAAGTTAGACCATCATAGTGTACATAGAAAAAAAACAGCAAACAATACAATCGAAGCCAGAACCGAAGTTGCTATTGCACCCGATCATAATATGAATCAACAAACTCGCAAGAGGAAGTTGCAGCCAAATTTTTCAGAACGAGATATTTTTAAGTCCCTCAAGGCCAACAATCACACTGCAGTTGTTGAAGTGGATGATGAAGATGTTTGAATTCCTGTTAAACGAGTCCGGGCTATAAAAAAAAAATCGTAATCGATTTTTTTTTTTTTTTTATATTTAAATTTTTTTTTTTTTTTTATATTTAAATTTGTTTTTTTTTTGTTTTTTTTTTTTATTTAAATTTTTTTTTTTTTTGTATATTTAAATTTTTTGGGAAATGCATTAGTTCAGGGTCACAATTAGAATAGGATAGGCTAGGATTATAGTAAGGGCGAAAAGGTTTATTTCAATCTTTTTTTTATTATAATAAAATCATTGATGTTATACGATATTGAAATGATAATGCGGGTCATAGGATTTAAGCGGCTCTAGTGGAATTTTGGAATTATGTAAATGATGCCAATCGAATTTAACAAGCTACCCACTAACAAAAAAAAAGTTTTTTGCCTCTATTCGGTTATATATACATAGCTAGTATTGTAGATTAGAGTTTGGAGCCGGTTTTATTTTTCATATGTTAAAACCAGTTTTAATCGGTTTTAACATATGAAAAATAAAACCGGTTCCAAACTCTATTGTAGATCATTCAGAAATTTTAGGAAATCTGCTGATATGGATGTCACGTGGATTTCAGCATCAGCATCATCCCTGACAAATAATAATGTTTATGAATTCCAACTTAGCTTTTTGTGAAAATGCCAGTTATACTGTATATCAAACTTTGTGATAAGAGGTTTAATATCCATATCTTTGGAGTAACTTTAAACAGAAGACTATCTTTAAATATTTGTCATTCCTTAATTATATTTAATATTATTGCTATGACCATTGAAAATAGCTTTTTCGAGTCATTCTTTTGTTCTATCTTGCTTTGTTATATTAATGATTTTTAGCCAAAACTTGGTGATATATATCTAGTATATACTATTCAGACGAATTCGATAAATTATTGATTTTGGAGCAGGGTTGAAAATACCAATTCATTTTCCCGGCTTTTTCAAGTATTTTTTTTTGATATATTAAAAAAAAAAAAAGTAAATACAGTAAGGCCATATAAATTTATATAATTGGTTTTCATATCCCACTCGCATCAGGAAAGTGAGAATTGAATTTTTTTTTTTTTATATATATATATAGTCAACCAACAAAATTATCCATTCGATAATCATGTGATAAAGCAGATATGCTTCATAGGATAACATTTATATAATTTGCTAATTTACAAAGATCACAAAAAAATTATTAACGAAGCTATTCTTGATTAACCCTAATTTGATTTTTTTTTGCAGGAATGCTGTGGATTATGAAACAGTTTATTTATTGTTATTTATTAGTTGTGCCTTTGCTTGTAACCTGCCGCATTTCCTTTTCAACTAAAGCAGTAAAGATTTTTATAAAAATTTATATGTTATATTGTATGCGCTATATGATCGGCGCAAGCCTCTCAAAATTTTTTATCATAGGTTGTATTTTTTAAAAATATTTAGATCGGCTTTCAATTCCATATAGTGCATTTCTATCAAGTTTACTGAATATATGTTAAACTTTATATATGAACGGAGCGATATATAACAAAGGGTGTTCTCAAGTGCCTAAATCAATGGGGCAAAAAATGTCAGGAAATAAAATTTAATTAGCAGAAAATAGTTTAAATTAGTCCAGCATGTTTATCATTAAGATGACATGCATAAATTGATAAAGCTTATTACATAAATATGACATTTTTATTAATAAAAATTATTGAAATGAATGTGTCATTTAAATCAACAAACTTTTTACAACAAACCTCTTTTTTTTTATCCCTGTCTTGAAAATTTTACAATCAATTGAGTTTTCAATAATACCGCACAAGCAATATTGCCATGGATCATCACATTCAGCAGCAAATTATTATTTTACTTCTAGCACTAAATGTTTTTATGAACGATAAAAAAAGTCAGGAAGCTCAAAAAACAATAGCTGATACTTATTATCTCTTAGCTTTTACCAATATGGCAACAAGTTCAACTATTCCGTCAATTATATCTTCATTCAATACAACAACCCAATGCCAACGAAAACCTAAAACTAGTGGATTCTGGGTTGACGTTTTTTCATATTTAACTGATGATGAGGGTTATAACTCTTTTCGATAACACTTTCATATCACTCTCTCAACATTTAATACTATTGTTTCTCAATTAGAAACACATTCTGCATTTAGTTCCGAAGCCTTTAATGCAACACCTGTGTGGAAGCAAATTGCTATTGTTCTGTGGCGCTTAGCCAATGGAGCAGGTGTGCGAGTTTTAGAACAAACCCTTGGAATAAGCCAAGGGTCAGTTATTCATTTCACTGATCAATTTTTAGAGGCATTACTGGATTTGGAGCAAGAAAGAATAAAGTGGCCTCAAGGTGTACAACTAACAACAGTTACTCAAGAATTTGAACATGGAATAACTGGTTTAGAGCATAACTTACTTAATGTCATTGGTGCAATAGATGGATCACATATACCTATTCATCCTCCTGTCAAGAATGGCTCACGTTTTATAAATCGTAAAAGTTTTCACTCAATTAATCTACTTGGAGTTGTGGATAGTCGAGGATGGTTTATATATGTACACATTGGAGAGGCAGGTTAGTAAAATTATTTCTATGTATACATTATGGTTTTTTTTAAATTATAGATTTAAAATTTTAATTAAATTATTTTAAAAGGGAGTGTGCATGATGCACATGTGTTTTACCGATCTTCTCTTTACTATAAGATTTCTCATAATTATGAATAATGGGTTCCAGGAGGTTCTTATATTATTACTGATTCTGCATTTTCTCTTAAAACTTATTTAATGAAACCATTTCCTGATCATAATGCATTAACTGGTCATGAGCGACGATTTAATAAAGTTCTTTCTTCAATGAGAATGAGTGTTGAAAGAGCATTTGAACTTTTAAAAGGAAGATGGAGAATTTTAATAAGTAAAATTTACTGTACAGATTTAGAACGAATTATTTGTATTATTCATGCTTGTTGTATCTTGCACAATATTTGTCTTGATAGAAATGATTTATTATTTGATAATGATATTTATTGTGAAGATAGTGAAATTATTGATAA